TTCTCTCTCTTAGTACATTCCTCAAAAATTATGAGTATGATTTCTAAACTTTCAAAGTCGGACGTACCTAAATCTTCTCGGAGACTCGGGTTTGCCCCCTCTCTGTTTCGCTTCCTCATTTCCTCTTACTCTTCTCGTGTCTGTTCACCCCTTGGGGTAATAAGAATATTGATACTTCCTGGATTTCCTTATTTTCTTGGTCGCGTTTAGGCTGAAGCCTGTCCTACGGTTTTGGTTTGGTGACCCATATTTTTCCGCTCTGGGTTTCAGTCTCAGAATTGTTGGTTTTACGAAAACGAACAAATTTCTCATCGAAAGCCTATTGGCATTTTAGGAATAGCCAAGGGCGACAAGCAATACTCGTTGGGTGATGCGGTTTTGCTGAGAGAGGATGATGAGACCATGGAGAGAGGTGGATGGGTGAATTTCACTTCTCACATTTTTGCTCCATCTTTTTCCTTATCTCAGAGTCTTTTTGTACGATCTTTGTTTGATTTTTCGAAGGCAGTTAGATTGCTTTGATTTTTTATTTACGAGAGTCATTTTTTAAATGTTGTCAAATTTATCCTACGAAAGCTGTATCATAAAATACTACCTCGTTTCACTTTGCAAACGATGTTCCATAAAATCTTATCGAGTTTAATTATACAAAAACTGTTTCGTAAAAGGTTGTCGAGCTTAATTTAATGAAAGTTATTCTGCAAAAATTCCATGAGTTTATTTTTGCAAAATCTGTTTCATAAAATGTTGTAGAGTTTAATTTTACAAAAGTCATTATGTAAACATGTTATCGAGTTTCGCTGTACAAGATCAGTTTTCGGAACACACGTTTTGCGACTATTCCGCAAATTTATTTTTTGGGTTTTAGTATTAGAAACTCCAGCTGTGATCTTAATTTATTGTGACTCAACTTAATTAGAAATTTTCTCGTTTCCACAAGATTGATCTGGGGAAGTTTTGAGTAGTTTTTAGGAAAAAAGCTTAGAATGCAAATATCTAAAAATAGATAAATATGTTACCATAGAAGCGACCCTTAAGTATTTTACGAAACCTTAGGTTTCGAAAACGTTTTAGCACTGAGTGATATGATCTCTAATTTTTCTTTGTTTAATCTTCGCCAACCGTTTTTAGGTTTCAAGTGATTTTACAGAAATGTTAAACTTTGTTTCTCTGAAAGTTATTCGGAAGAAGTACAGATGTGGGGGTTGCGTACCCGATTTTCTGTGCTTCTTTTTTTCTGTGAGTAACTTAGGGTTCTCCGCGACTTTGGGAGGTTGAAGCAAGTTTGTTTCTCCAAAGACTTTTACGTAAGTTATTTGGAAGAAGTACAGCGGTGAGTTGCGTACCCGATTTGTTGTGCGTCCGATTTTCTGTGCTTCTTTTTTTCTGTGAGTAACCTAGGGTTCTCCGCGACTTTGGGAGGTTGCAGCAAGTTTGTTTCTCCAAAGACTTTTACGTAAGTTATTTGGAAGAAGTACAGCGGTGAGTTGCGTACCCGATTTGTTGTGCGTCTTTTTCCGTGAGCAACCTAGGGGTTTTCCGCAATTTCTGGAGAAAGTTTTATTTTTCCAAAAAAAATTTGGAAAACTTCTTTTGGCCAATTCTTTACGTGTTGAGATTTCTTCAACTTGGTAATGAGACGAGTCTTATGGGGTTTTATAAAATTAATTGTTGCCCTTTATGTTTAGATAGAGATATCGCGAGATCTTTAAGTGCTCTTCTTGAGGCGAAAAGTCGTAATTAGGTTTTTGATTCTGTCGAGAAGTACGGCGTTTGCGTAAGAGTTGACCATAGGAGCAGTTAGTGCTGCCAGTTTGGCATTCATATTACCTGACATCATTTCGATCAAGAATTCTGTGGCCATGAGTTAGAGTAATCCGTACCCCCCCCCCCTCCCCCTCTTTCTAGCGCAAAACTGTGGGAACCAAAATTCACACCGTTGATTTTCCGTTAAATTTGGAAAGTTATGAAACCCTAAATTTCTCAGAGGTCCCGGATCTCTGCAAGAATCAAGGACAAGTAATTGAAAAAAACGCCAAAAACATGAAAAGACAAGCAAAGCAAATTTATATAGAAAGTATATCTTATTTCAAATCCGCGTAAGAGCATTACGATCACTACAAAAGAATATAAAAGGTTTGGAAGCAAGAGCTGTTCTAGCAACCTAAAGCCTTAAACCTAGCTGAGTCTCAGCTCAATAACAAAAGACGAGAAAGATACGAAAATTGTTTTGATTGATTTCGGACAGAACCTTATGAAAGGCTGCCTACGAATCCCTTTCAAGGATCAAGCCGAGCGTAGTTTAATTATAGAGTTTAAACAAGAGATCAAACTATCTAGGTGTGTTCGTCTAGTAATCGAATGCCAGACATAGAAACCAAACTTGTGAGAATAAAGCCTAAAGTTTATAAGTGAAGAGATTTCTAAGTCTAAAAGGTTTCCCTGCATCTCTCGCCTCGAATTCTCTTATATACTCACTTCAGGTCGGTTTGCCTCTTCCTTTACTGCCCATGAGTCAAATTTATCACTTTGCGGAAATATTCCAGTTTTCCTTCGATCTTCATGTTTATCCTTTGAAACTTTACATTTATCTTCTTTGACATTTATCTTCTTCTGCGGATAAGAGATAAACCGTCATATCATCTTTGGGCTCAATCTTGTTAAAATCGTAAGGGGGCTTTGAGACGCGTTTCAGACCTTGTCAGGCCGCTTTTTTTAATTTTTACGATTTCTCCGAGAGACCACCTTTGATACTATGCTGGATTCATAAACATATTAAATCAATTGTATAACCAAAGAAATTGGTGTCTTAAGTTAACCGTTTCCGTTTATACGATTGACTCGAACATATCCGATAAAAACAAAGCTTCAGGGTATTTATCATAACGTTTCAACGATAACCCTTGCTAGGGATGGATCAAGAGACAAGGCGGTCATCGTTTGTAAGAAGGAGCTAGTGGAATGAAACGAGGATGTATGATGTTGATTAAGTCGTAGCTCGCGGAATGGCGAGTAAGTTTTGTGCAAGCCAGTCGCCGTAGTACGACATGGTCTTGTACGGACCGGTCATCGTACGGCGACCTGGTCTTGTAGCTGACTGGTTGCTGTATGACGACCTTGTACACCCATACGGTGACCTGGTCTTGTAGCTGACCAGTCGCCGTGCGGAGACCTGGTCTTGTAGCCGATTGGTCGCCGTGCGGCGACCTGGTCTTGTAGCGGACCGGTCGCCGTGCAGCGACTTGGTCTTGTAGCCGATCGGTCGCTCTGCGGCGACCTGGTCTTGTACGGACCAGTCTCCGTATGGCGACCTAGTCTTGTAGCCGACCGGTCACCGTGTAGCGACCTGATCTTGTACAGACCAGTCACCGTACGGTGACCTCGTCTTGTAGCTGAACGGTCACCATATGGCGACCTGGTTTTGTACGGACCGGTTGATGTACGGCGACCTGGTCTTGTAGCCGACTAGTCGACGTGCAGCGACCTTGTCTTGTATCCGATTGGTCGCCATATGGAGACTCGGTGTTGTGTGGGCCGGTCACCGTACGGCGACCTGGTCTTGTACGGACCGATCGCCATACGGCGATCAGATCTCGTATCCGACCGGTTGCCGTGCGGCGATCTGGTCTTGTACAGACTAGTCGCCGTACAGCGACTTGGTCTTATATCCGACTGGTCGCCATATGGTGCTGTATGGACCGGTCGCCGTATGGTGACCTGGTCTTGTACAGACCTGTTGCCATACGGCGACCTGATCTTTTATCCGACCGGTCACCATATGGCAACCATGTCTTGTAACATACCGGTCGTCGTATGGTGACCTGGTCTCGTTCCTGATCGGTTGCCATATGGTGACTTTGGTTCATGATGTTTTGGTAGTCTCTTGAATTCGTCTCAGGCGTTGTTCTAAATAAGCAATTTCAGGCGTTTGGCTTTGAGATTGTCGATAAAATAATTCCTGTCTGTCGGAAGAACTCTTTGCTAAAAATTATACAAACATTACTCTTCTAAAAAATATCTTCTATGAATTTTCTAACATTGATTCCATCATGACTGATTTTAATCCCAACAAAGCTCCTAAATTGCCATCTCTATTCATGCATATTAAAAAAAGCTTTATTAACTTTTAATGCTATGGAATGGGAAGACACTAAAATTGGATCGTTCTACTGGAAGCTTAACAGTTGTTATTGTAACATTTTTGATCCAATTCTAGAAGACTGTTTCTATACTTTTTTCATATGCTCGATTTTAAGCTAAGACAAATCGTTGACGGGAAAATTTTAATCAAATAAAGTAGTAAACAGAGATAAATTGGTTTGGTTTTCAGATTATGAAGGAGCTAAATCTATGTTGTTGGATCAGGTATAAAGTGATCATGAGCCGAATTACTATTTAAGGATCAATTCAAAACTAGTATAACTCAAATACACATGAAAATCAATCCACTTTCGTAATATCTCACATTTTATCAAGCAATCTTAATGCCTTAATTGTCGTTTGGACTAGAATATGATGACAAACATTATGCTCGGATTCAATCAGTTAACAACACGCTCATATTGTAGGGTGTATACAAGATAAAGACACTTATACTATTCCTCGTATATAGGAATTTCTAGTATCTACTTAGAGCGTAGTTATATCCATTTTACTCGCTCTCTTCAATATTATACATACGATAGATTAGCTACACTCCTCCATATGTTTTACCATAACTTAAACGATGTAATCATTTGACCCCAAAAAAACTAATCATTTGACCCCAAAAAACGATGTAATCAAATCACTTTAGTAGTCTTGTTTCATTTCGATCAAAGTAATGATCATTGTTTTGACTAATGGGTTCCTAGACCAGAGAGTACAACGTTATATTTGTTTCTAACCCCAAAGTCACCCTCCAAACTATTCGTCACCTAAATATATATTTCTTGCTAAAAACTCTATAACCGTTCTGTCTCACCAACTGGAACTTTAATAAAGAAGGCAAAGGCTTTTGTATTGATTTTATGTAACCATCTAACAAGAAAGTATCTCTACTGGAGTGAGATCTTTGCCTTGATTAAGGCTAATCTTGAAACAGATCGACTGACAAAGTTTTCTTACAGTAGTAGACTAGTAGTAGTTCTAGCTAATGATTCCAGTGTGAGAGATGAATACTATATTTAGCTGCAAATCGGACAACGAACAAGACCATTTTCGTTACACTTATTACATCTCACTACAACGACGTCCGTTCCCCATCCTTCCACCACTTTGCAGCTTCCATTACAATCAGAACACGGTAAGAACCTTAATCCGCCGCATCCGTCGCAGCCACCGCGTCTATCTTTCTTCCTCGGAATCCCCCTCAGCAAATCTCCTAGCATACCTTCTTCCACCAATGTCATCACCTCCTCCGCTCCGCCGATGTACCTCCCCTTCACAAAAACCCTAGGCGGCAGCACAGGCTCTCCGTTTCCCTCTTCGGCCATTAGACTCGTCAGCTCTTCTCTAAACCCTCTGTCCATCGAAATGTCCCTCTCGCAGACCACTACACCGAAGCTCTCGATCGCAGCTCTCACGGTGTTACACGCCTCGAATGTCCTCCTCACGCCGCGCAACGACGTCGTGTAGATCACAACGCGGTTATCTACTCCTCCGCGGGGAGGAAAGAGGTTCTCCGATATCTCCGCGAATTTCGGATCTAGCGGTTTCAGAACGTCCTCGTTGTTCGATTGGTTTCTAAGGCTTTTCCAATTAGGATCGGAGTTCTCTTTGTTTACTTCGCCAGAGGAGACATTGCCTTTCACCGGAAGAGGAGAGAACCGGCAAGTATCGGGCTCGAGACCAGACATTAGCTCCCAGAAGTTAATAACCTCCGGCTCTGACTTGACGGTTATTGGGTCCTTACCGACGATGGTGAATCTCTCAGGCGGAGTCATCGGCGTTGCTGGTGCGGAGATAACGGAGGAGATTGAAGAAGGCGGAGGTAAAGGGTCGAGATTGAGAAGGCCGTAAGTGGTGGAAGTAAGCTTGACGAAGTGGTGGTGGCAGCCGGCGAGGTTAGAAAAGTCATCGCTTTGATTCAGGAGGTTGGAGGAGGCGCAACCCATTGTCGGAGAGAGTTTGTTGAGTTTTGTTTGAGATTTGAGAACACGAGTTTGGAGTTATTTTGAGTGAGAGAGACGGTCGAGTGAGATTAAAGAGAAAATCACAAAACTCCTTAAAGAAAACACCAAAACAATCAAAGACCTAAAGAGACAATGCACGTGACCTGCTCCCTTTTTTTCGCCTAACACGTTAGTGACCATGAATGTAACAAGTTATGGTTATCTTATTACTTTGTCATGTACATTATTAATACGGAAAAGATGTCGTTTGAATCATAATTTTCAAATTTAGTTAACATAAAACAACAATTCTTTTATAAAAAAAAAAACATTTAACTATTGTTCATAAGTCATAATAATCATAAATTTACTATTTTGATCATTTCATTAGTCATCAGTTCTAATTGACTAACATTAGATCTAAAATCACTTTTAAAATTGATGATTTTGTGGGAAAAATACAAATCTACTTTTTCAATAATTATATTGTCCAATTTTTTTTTGTTTGAAAAATATTAATATTTTTTTTGTTTATCGGAAGAAAAAATAGAAATAATTTGAAAAATACTAAATAATTTAAAATTTGAAAGGACAATTCACCATAATAGCACTTTTAAAGTTTTTGTCTCCAAAATAGTACCAGAAGGAGAAAATTACAAAAAGAACATTCATTAATGAGCAAAATGTCTCTACTACCTTTAATAATAAAAAAGGAAAATTAGATGTCCTTCTCTCTTGGCCATTTCCTACAATCTCTCTCACGAAAGAAATCTCTGGCGACGATGTAATCTCTGGCGACGATGTAATCTCTGGCGATAACAGAGAACAAATCATTCAGAACCACCACCGTCTCCGAGATTCTCCCATCCCTGGCTGCAATTTACATCATCACATCTCAAACAAAAGCAATCTATATCGACGTATCTGTATTTAGACTCAGATTTCTAGGGCTTGTTCGGCTTTTTCTATTCGTATCGCATTATCAGTGCTTCATGATTCTGTTTTGATTCGTTTTATTTGCTCTCCAGCGAGTTGATTTGGTACAAAGTATGCGTCAACCAAATGGTTGGAGGAGGAGTTATCCAGCAAATTCTCAGGAGGAAGCTTCACTCCCAATCAGTCGTGAGATGTTTCTCAATCTCAGTTAACCTTTTTATAGTTCTAACTTGATTTCTGTTGAGTGAGATTTCATCTTGGGATCTGTTTTAAGAGAGATTCTTGAGGTTTCTATGTTATTTGTTTGGGTACTGTGGGTAAAGTAAAGCTTGGTGCTTTAGGAGGTAAAGAATCACCTTCTAAATTTTTAGTGTCATTTGTTTACAAATATATGGTCAGTAGATTTGTGTACAGATGTTGCTTCAGTTTGAATCTAAGTATAAGGATGATTTGCAACAATATTTTGAAAAGGGGTATTTTTTTCAGTGTGTAACTGATTTGTTTGCCGCTGTTGTGATTAGCAGAACTATTCTTGGGTAATTATTTCCATGTTTGTGAGTGTTTGATGTTTTAGTTCTCTTGTTTCTCTAAGATTTATAGCTTTTCCTAGTTAAGAACACACATAAAAGTTGTACCTTTTTCTTGTTCTTTTTAATCGCAAGTGTAATGTGACTCATTAAACTGTTTAGTATTGTTTGTAGCTGAAGAAACCACTATTACCCCGAGAAGTTATTCTGGTAAAGAGAAAGTTGTGTTGCATTTGTTGTGTAGCGAAGGAAAGTTCCTTAGAAGTTGTTGGAGCTCAAATCAAAGACTGTTAAATGTGGGAACATAAGGTTTTGAGGTAATGTATCTTTTGATTTTGTTGAGCTACGTTAGATGCTATTCTTGAGAAGTAGTTGAGCTACATCAAATGCTTATGTTATTGTTAGTCTCTTCTTGCTTGTGCTGGTGAAACTGTGTAGTATTTTTAAAAAAATCAAGAAGGATTGTGTAGTTTCAAGAATGCTTTCCAGAAAATCTAATATTGACAAATTTTTTTTTTTTTTTTTGCTTGGTTGCTTGTTTTTCTTACGCATTGATATCTTTGGTAATCTTATGAATTTGCGTAACTATGACGTTTCTAGTCAACTGCTCTTGCCTGTGAAACTATGTGGCCATTTTTTTTTAATTCAACGAAGCATTTGTGTAGTGCCAGGAAAGCTTTCCAGAAACTAGGATGGTAACAAATATTGAAACTTTTATGTTTGGTGTCTTGTTCTGCTTAGGCATGTTGATATATTTGATACGCGCTTGAATTTTCTTATGAGTATCTTGTTGCTTGTGCTTGTGAAACTGTCTAGATTTTATAAATTTTTCAGGAAGCATTTGTAGTGTCAGGAAAGCCTTCCAAAAATTCGGATGGTAACAAATTTTGAATTTTTTTTTTGCTTGGTGTCTTGTTCTACTTAGGCATGTTGATATCTTTGATAGGCTCTTGAATTTGCTTATTAGTCTCTTGTTGCTCGTGCTTGTGAAGCTGTCTAGTGTTTATAAAAATTTCAGGAAGCATTTGTGTAGTTTCAGGAAAGCCTTCCATAAACTCGGATGGTAACAAATTTTGAAACTTTGTTTGCTTGGTGTCTTTTTCTTCTTAGGCATGTTGATATCTTTGATAGGCTCTTGAATTTTCTTATGAGTCTCTTGTTGCTCGTGTTTGTAAAACTGTCTAGTGTTTATAAAAATTTCAGGAAGCATTTGTGTAGCTACAAGAAAATCTTTCGCTGTTGGAATCTTTTGGTGATGAGGTTGATAAAAAGAAGGTGATACCATTTGAAGTTGAGCAGGCACAAGGTTTACCCAAGACAAAATTCCATTTCCATTGTGGGCTCTTTCTTATCAAGATTCTCGAGTGCCACTCATTGAAAATAAGGGACATGTTAAAGATTAACGATGACAATGCACGGGAACTAAGAAGAAGATTGTCTGGTGAAATCTTCAACCATTTTGTGGATTAAAACTTTGGTAAATAACAAAAGATGCACAGTAACATTTTTTGTTTAGTTAAGACTGTTTTTTAAAAAAAAAAACATGTCATGAATTTTGATTTGGTTAGGTTATTGAAGTTTTTTGTGGATGGTCTTGAAATTACATAAGTAAGATTGCAAGGATATCAATTATTTTACTTGTGTATCATAAATGTAGGAAGGCATTTCGATTTTTCTGGATAGGTTTCCAGAAATAAATGTTAAACTGTTTCTATCTGTAACAAAGTTTAAGCTAAAAAAATGAAATGAGATTAAGACCTAAGTATTTGATATCTGAATAATAGGAAAGTTTCAAACTGTGATGTTTTCAGACAAAAAAAAAAGAATAATTTTTTGAACCCAACACTGATCGAACCCGGAGGAAGAGTGTCTAGTGTTTCGGGAGAGTATGAAAATCTAGGCCGAGGAGAATTATCTATCAATTCTCAACACATAATTGAGTTTAACTCCCAGTTGTGTATCATAAATGTAGGAAGGCATTTCGAGTTTTGTGGATGAGTTTCTAGAAATAATTGTTTTCTAGAATTTCTACAAAACAGAGAACACGTATCAAACATAGAACATGAAAATAGGATAGCTTGAAACAGTTTCAGTAATTATATCAAAGAAAGTGTTAAATGTGGTGTCATTATGACATACACGTGTTATCTAAGATAGCTTATGGAACTTCCAGGATGGGCTTCCAGAATTATAAAATGAGTGTCTTTTCTTGCATAACTATATTTTCGAAGAGAATTAAAAGCGTGTAAGAAATGTTAGACAATCAATATAAGCCTCTTCCTAATTGATACAAAAATTTAAAAAATATTCTGATTCCATTACGGAAAAGTGATCATAAAACATGATGTGGGTTTCATAATACATAAATATTAGTCTTAAAACATAAGAGAAAGGGTTATTTTTCATTTCAGTAAGGATTTGTATTATTTCAGGAAAGCTTTCCAGAAAATTGTATGTTAACAAAATTTTGAAACTTTTTTTTTGATTGGTTGCTTATTTTTGACATTGTGACAAAAAATATCTAACTTAATTTCATCATACATATACAAGCAATATCCTGAGTGTGAATTTTCTTTTGACATTGTTAGTCTCTTGCTTGTGATTGTGAGACTGTGTGGTTTTATTAATTTTAGTAAGAATTTGTGTAGTTTCAGGAAAGCTTTCTAGAAAATCTGATATTAACAAATTTGTAAACTTTGTGCTTGGTTACTTGTTTGGTTTATGCGTATTAATATCTTTGGTAGGTTCATGATTTTTTTTTTTACATTTCTAGAAAATTGCTTGTGCTTGTGAAACTGTGTGGCTTTGTTAATTTCATGAAAGATTTGTGTAGTTTCAGGAAAGTTTCCTGAAAATCGGTGTTAACAAATTTGAAATTTTTTTTGCTTGGTTACTTGTTTGGCTTGCACATATTGATATTTTTGTTAGGATCGTGAATTTGCTTATGACATTTCTATACGATTGCTTGTGTCTGAAATTGTGTAGTTTTTTTCAGGAAGAATTTGTATAGGTTCAGGAAGGCTTTCCAGAAAATTCAGTATTAAAAGTTTTTGAAATATATATTTTACTTGGTTACGCATGATAGTAACACGATGGGAGTTATTATAAAGCATAGATTCTACCTAAATATCTATCAAAAAAATTTAAAGAAAGAGTATTGATCTCACATGTCCGTAGAGTAATAATGATCACAAAGAAAAATGATTACTTTCTTGGAGCTAATAAGGGTCTCTCATCTTTGTATATATTCTGTTGATACACTTCTTCTCTAAAAAGGACCAATCTCTCGTCACAACAGAATCGAAATATCTCTCTTACCTTAGCTTCACTGAGACACTGACCAGTCGAGTTTCCGGGGTTAATGATCACCATTCACCTTACCTGCCATTAACCATGTGTATTAATCAATAAAAAAGCTTATGTGTCAACAGTTCTACTCACTGTTATTCTTTGAGAACAAACCTGAGCAACATAAAGCTTCTTTCCTTTTTGGGTTTTCTTTTGCTTAAATGTTGTGTTCGTGAAGTCCAAATATATAACTTCTTTTTCTTTTTTTCCAGTTTCATCTCTGGCAGTTTCCTCTGTAATTACTTACCACAACGGAACCTAACATGAGACCAT